TTTAGGGGGGTGTTTGATTCACTCATTTTATGAAAAAAAAATAGGATTTGAAGCTGGCAGGGGCAAAACTGTAAATAAAGGATTATTTATAAATCCTAATCTTGAGTTTGGTTCAAAAAAAATTTATAGATTTCAAAATTCATAAAGCTGCAACAGTAGGGTGTTTTTATGGAAACCCAAATCCTTTTAGGGGGGTGTTTGATTCACTCATTTTATGAAAAAAAAATAGGATTTGAAGCTGGCAGGGGCAAAACTGTAAATAAAGGATTATTTATAAATCCTAATCTTGAGTTTGGTTCAAAAAAAATTTATAGATTTCAAAATTCATAAAGCTGCAACAGTAGGGTGTTTTTATGGAAACCCAAATCCTACTCAATTGGTAGGAATTGTGTCAAAAAGCTGACAACCCGTACTTTCTCCCTTTCTCTTTTCTTTTTCGGATTCCGCCTCTTCACGACGAACCCTAGATCCGGTTCAGCCGCTACCGCTATTCTTCTCCCGCCTCCTCTCAATCTTCTTCGCGCCTCCTCTCAGGCTGTTCTTCGATTTCCTTTTCGAAGATGAGGCTCAGCCATTGTGCAGCGGTGATCCCTTCTCGAACTTGATCTACGGATCAGTTGGTTTGTTGTCTTCGGCTTCTCCCGCGAATCTTCTCCTGCCTCATCTCGGTCCTCTTCGCACCTCTTCTAGTGTCACGCCCCCGCTTCCCAAAATATCGGGGAATCGGAATATGAACAAGCCCGCGACGTATTAGATTGAAGAGAATAAATAAAGATCATTTTTTTCTCAACCTAATATGCTAAGCGTCAAGCAATATACAATGCGAAGTCACAGGTTCTCAATCACAATTATCAAGAATATAATGAACAACTCAGAACAAAAAAGTCATATCACAAATGAGATTACATCTAAGACATAAAGTTTGGGTCAAACATGCCCTTATTACAAAACAGTCCAACTGAATGCTGAAGAGATATAAAGATACATCGATCAACTAATAAAAGAAAAGACTAGCCTTCGACTTCTTCTTCTACTATGTCTGCAAAGCACTCCTGCTGAGAATACTCGGGCTCTGGCGTATGCGTATCTCCAAGCTGGACCTGTCTGTCCTCTAAATCTGACTTACACTAGAGAAAATAGGTGTACATCAGTGTGCATAGCACACGGTAAGACCCCATAAAAGAAAAATAGAACGGTCGAATGACCAATGCGATAACCGATGCAACAACAGAAATGACAAAAGATATGTGCAACTGAAAATCTAACAAAATCAAAATGTGATCCACTACTAAATCATGATAATCATAAGGCCAACAACATACAATAACAGGATCGAGTACTAGCTATCCTAAAAAAACTCATTGGTCCACATCTCAAATAAGTCAATGTTCGCATTTTCGGATAACTTACTGTTCATGATCCTCTATGCGCATCAAATACCGCGAAACGATTCGGTAAGAGGACTACACGCAATCCGATTTCAGCCTGGTCCGAACTCAAGCAAAACTCGAGTGACGAAATGATTTCACTGACCACGTGCGAAACGATTCAGTGGCCCAACAGACTAACCCTAGTGCGAAACGATTCACTAGTGCAAGCCTGGAAGATAATCAACAATCATATCTGATCATGCGAACTAGACTTTGCCACCCCAACATCTCTTGTTTTTCTAAGTCAACAAACACAACCTATAATAGAGTTCTGGTTCACCTCCTAATTTAGTCAACACACCCACACATGTCGCTAAGTCTTGTTCATGACGCACGAGGTCACTAAGTCATGAACTACTAATGGTTCTCAAACACAACATGGAACAATAAATGCAGCTAATTCTATACAAATAAAACATGGTATGTCACGTAATTAAAATAAGAATCATGGAATCGGCGAATGATTTGCACATAAAATATCACGGTCAACAATCATCAATCACACGACCATAAACAAAAATAATTCAAAATAAATAATTCTTTTGCAAAATAAATTCCTTTCAAATTGTCTCTCACCATAATTATTCTATAATTCTTTTGCAAAATAAATTCCTTTCAAATTGTCTCTCACCATAATTATTCTAAAAATAATCTTTTAAAATAATAAATTCAAAATAAATTCCTTTCAAATTGTCTCTCACCATAATTATTCTAAAAATAATCTTTTAAAATAATAAATTCAAAAATTCAAAAATAATCTTTTTACAAGATCAATTCTCATTAATTTCAAAATAGCCTATTTTCCCAAAATAAATTCTTTTAAAAATATTTATCATTTTAAAATAATTCCTTCCACAAAATAAATTCTAAAAAAAATATAATTATTCTAAAATAATTCCGTTGTCAAAATAAATTCTTTAATTTATTATAATTATTCTGAAATACTATTTATCACATAATTATGATTCATTCAATATTATTCACCAAACCCACGCAGATAATTCATAATAGATCTAAAATTCTAATAAATAACAGTTAAAAAATGTAAATTCGCACGACAAATATAAGAATTGCCATAAACTAATCTAGAATCGGAATCTTAGGCACAATTAACAAATCTAAAATTATACGGAATAAAATAACGGGACAGAGATCTTGTACATAATTAATTTACGACAAGCACAATAATTGACACGAAACTAAACGATAATCGGTATCTCACGCCTAATAAGTTTTATGATAGTCTAAAAAATTAAAATAAAACAAACGAGGTTGTGGATCTTGCCTACGAGGCCAAGGGGTCTGTGGACGAGGCGGCAATGTCATTATTTGCTATTCGTTGTTTCGCCGACGAACGTAGCGGATCGACGAGAAGCTGGGTGGCGGCGTCGATGACAGTTGAGGAGCTGTTTGTTGGTGTTGGGGGT